AAGTGCACATTTGTTAGTCCAAACAAGACAGCCGGTACCAGCGGAAATACAAATACGCAGCCTACAAAGCTAGCCTGCAGACAATGGCGAAGCGTACCGGCAATTGTGCGTTACCGGGAAAAGGAGGGAATAGAGACGCCTTTTCAAGAGAAAGAAAAGAGAGGTAGAAAGGCATTAGTGTGAAGAGCATCAGGTGCTGGCAAGAAGGAATATGGCTCGTAAAAGCTATCAGAAAATATGTCAGCAATCAAATGGTTTTAAGATCGGGGCTAGCTCCTGTAAAGATGGAAATATGGTAACAGATGTCTTTGTAGTGGCGATGTTGGTTTAGGGAAAATTCTTGGCTATAGTGAGACTTTATTTGGTGATAGATGAAATGCTGAAAGTCAGTTTTTTCTCTTGTGGGGTTTAGTATTGTTAGTGATAAGCAAGCTAGCTTGGCTGCTTTTTCTGCGCTTTCGTTACCCGATATCCTAACGTGTCCAGGACACCACAGCAATTGGATATTTTTGTTGTTGAATAAGTGTTCGCGAATAATTTAAGAAACTTATTGTGTTCAAAATGCAACAGTGGACGCCAGGTGATAGTGAAGCTTGCGAATTTCTGCAAATTCCTGTTCGCACCAAACTTTGTACGTTTCTCTCTTTGGGAGAGTAAGATACTTTATTCTTTTTATTTTTATTTTGTTGCTGGCTAATTCTTACTGGCTTTTCCAAACGAACACCACTTATACCAGGAGATGTTATAAGAACGAGAATACACCATCTCATTTGAAAAATTTCTATACAATAGCCGAATGTCAAAAAAAATTAGGCGAGAAAGCTTTTTTATTTCGTCACCTGTTCATAAATTCACCATAAACAATCCCATGTTGATTCGGTGTAATTAGATTAGAAACTGAATAAAACACTTTCTCCTTAATTATACACTAAAAAAAATGAAGCAATCGTTTTGCACTTCATGATATCCCTGCAGTTTGTAACATCCTTGTTACTACCACTCTTGAAGTTTGACGTAATATATCGAGGATCCACCCGTCCACCACTCTGAAATAGAAGGAAATGTTTTTTATTGACCTACCGACTCCCGCTTTCGACCGGAAGTAAGTTAAACTGACCGGAAGTCCATGTTTTAAATTATACATACATTTTTTTCCCACAGATTTGGATTCTACGAACGACAAGTAATTTTTAAGCAAAAAGCACAACCGACTTTCTCATATAAAAATTTAGGAGTACCGTTAATTTTTTCATGACCCAATGATCGGATCTAAACCAAATTAGTATGGGACCAGCTGTGAAACACTATCTTTCTGATAGAATTGTCGAAATCGTTTGACGTGGTCCAAAGTTATGCGGTAACATACATTAAAAAAAATTAATTAAATAAAAACACAAGTAATTTTTAAGCAAAAAAACAAAACCGGCTTCAATTCTCATATAAAAGTTTGAAAGTGCCGTTAATTTCTTCATGATGCAATGATCGGATTTCAATGAAATGAGTATAAGTTGGTTAAAAATACATAAATTTTTTAGGAAATTATTTCTGGAACGGTTAAAATAATTCACTTCCGGGATATTTAACCCACTTCCGACCGGAACCAGAAATAAGTAATACGACCAAAAGATGGAGCATTGGTAGGTCATGTTTTCGCGTTATTCAACAAAAAGTGTCCCCCCATTTTAGAGGGGATGGGCGGGTGGTCTAGAACACCCTGTATATAGTATGTACGCCCTCGATAACAACAAGGATGTTACAAATTACAGGCCTATCATGAGGGTATTCTATTTATTAACCGGTTTGTAATATTCAAACCCACCTGTGACTCCGCTATCGTTCTTGGTATTGATTCTTACTGTGAAATGAGATATGAGATTAACATCAATATCATCGATGACAGTTAGGTTAGGTTAGATTACAGTGATTATCTCGGACAGGGGACGCACTTGAACAATTAAGAGGTTGTCCTTTGTGATAGGACGAAAGCTTAACGGAGACTACTAATTTAGCTGGAGAAACGCCGAAAACTGATCACGTAATTACGAATGCAGCTAAAGCAGCAGAAGTGTGAGCCAAAATGTTTCCATCTTAATCTCACGAGGGATAGGCAGTCCTCTTGACAGCTGACGCAAAAGGGATCAGTTAAGATTCATAATCTCACCGCGTGAGTACCAATCGCATAATGGTCTCAGAACCCACACTAATAGCGAGAGCTGAGGCTTTGGAAGCCCAAGAAACTCCTGTGACTACGTGGCCGTAGTGGGCGCCCTCCTAGATACCGAGTTCAGGTAACCTTGAGTCAGCTCAAAAAGAAAATCTAGAAATCACCGTAAAAGCCACATCATCTGCATAGGCGATCACCCAATTTCTCCAGTTCCTCCATAAGGCTGTTAACAACCGCAATACAGAGCAGGGGAGAGAGAACACCTGAAAGCTAAAACGGAAGAGGACTTTAATATAACTAACCCATTTTTGTAGAAATTGCAGACAGATGGTATTGAATATCGACGGCTGAGTTGAAGATCGACTTATCTCGGCAGCCGGTTCGAAAACGACCTATCTTGTCGAGAACACCATATTCCAGAATTTGGTTGAAGAACGCCCTATTTCAGAATTCTGTTCAAAAACGCCCTATCTCAGCTGCCCGCATAACTACACGTCTCCCAAACCACCTGAAGCTCCTTCAATTTAACTGTAACGGACTTCAGAGCAAGATCGAGGAGATAACCGTCTTCATCGGAAGGCATGCAATTGCACAGCAATTCAACATGCCGGGTACAACGTGCACCGTCGAGATCGCGAGCGAGATAATGGTGGTGGCTTAGCGTTCATCACGCACCACACCGTGCTGTATCGTCTTATTGAAGCAGACATCGACCGCAGGGATACCACCCTAGAATGTCAGGGCATTGCTATCCGGTCAGCTTTTCTAAAGCTGATTGGAAAGGCTTCGCGGAATTTACTGAGAGCACCTTCGCTGCGTTTCCCACACCAACCGACGGCTGAAAAATTTGGGTCCTGCGGGAGTAGCGTACCTAACGGAGGAGCTCAATATGTCAGTGGCCACTCTCATCATCCCAGACATCTGGTCCCACTGCTCAAACCGGGGAAACTAGCCAACAAAGGAGATTCTTGTCGACCGATAACACCCTTTCCCCGGTAGCGAAGACACTAGAGGACATGCTGCTCCCGTATTTCACGAACCGCCTGACCCCAGCGAAGCATCAGCATGTTTTCCGTAAAGTGCACAGTACAACAACCGCACTTAATGCCATAAACACTTAGATAACTCGTGGCCTCAACCGCAACCGTCCCTGTGAGAGAACTATTCTAGTAGTTGGACCTATCAAAGGCGTTTGACACCGTCAGCCAGTCCACGCTACTAGAAGATATAGAGGCTTCCTCTCTCCCACAGAGGCTCAAACAGTGGTCGGCGAATTATCTGAGTGGTCGACACTCGTCGGTAATGTGTAGAGATAAATCGAGCAAACTTAGAAAAATAAAACAGGGGGTTGTTGTTGTAGCGGCTACAGGGGGTTCCACAGGGTGGTGTCCTTTCCCCGTTACTGTTTATCTTTTACATTTCAAAGCTCCCTCAACCACCAGAGTCCCGATTGTCTCCTACGCTGAGGATTGCTCGATCATGGCGATTGGGAATGGAATTGATGACTTGTGTTCGAGATTTCTCGCTTCTTCACTACAAGGAGCCTAACCCTCTCCCCTACGAAATTCTCTGCGACCTTATTCACCACCTGGGCGAAGGAGGCCAGGCTACCGCTGGGAATTCAAGTCGATGATACACCAATTCCGACGGTGAATTACTCCAAAATACTCGGAGTAACCTTCGACAGTCTGCTCTCCTTCTCTGCGCACGCAACCGCGTTTGTCGACAAAGTACAGAGCCGCAATAAGGTCCTTAGTTCCTAGCCGGCAGTACTTGGGGCAACGGCAAAGAAACGTTGCTGGCAACGTACAAGGCAATAGGACGGCCGATTTTAAATTACGCAGCACCAGTGTGGTCGCCGATGACTAGTAGGGCGCAGTGGATGAAGCTGCAGACGACACAAAACACCGCAGTACGGACAGCGACTGGATGCCTTCTGATGTCGCCTGAACACCACCTACAATGCTCTGCAAGAAGTTCTTTGTTGGGGGCCGTAGACGTGGTCACCCGAATGGGCAGCTGCTTGCAGAAGAGTCCTCGCCCAGGCACGTCAGGAGACATCTCTACGAACTGACGGACGAAGTCCAGAGGTTCATTAAACATATCGGCAGGCCCTGAACGGCATTCACAGGGAGTGAGTCTCGAGTAATGTAGGCCCCAGACCTGTGAATGCCGTTCTGGGCGCACAACCACCGGACATTGACGAGACGGAGTTTCATCTGCCTCGGGAGACAAGAACCACAATAGCCCAACTTCGCTCTGGCTACTGCAGCAGGTTAAACTCTATCAGACTAAACGCAGATGTACCAAATGAGTGTCCGGCATGCGGAGAGACCCCTCACGACTCGAAACATCTCTTCGTATGCCAAGAAAACCCAACAACCCTAACACCTTTGTCCCTGTGGACCGACCCTATTGAGGCTGCACGCTTCTTAGGGCTGCCGTTAGTGGAACTTGACGACAACGACTGGGATATTAACCGATCTGGGCGGGGTTGTTGTAGCCGCTACAACAACAACCACATAGGGCGTTCTACAAACAAATTCTGAAGTAGGGCTTTCTTCAGCCAGTTTCTGAGAGAGGGCGATCTTTCACTCAGCTATCGATATAGAAAAACTAAAACGATATGAAAAGTTTAGGATGTACGAAAAACTTTATTTTTTAATCTTTCTTCTGAAGATAATATTGCTTCAATTTTTCATTTACATATTTGACTTCGCTCTTGGTATTCTAAAGCAGTACACTGAATGGAAAACTTAACAAGAAAACAAAACGAACTAGTATTACGGTCTACAATGACTTATAACTGCCCAATTAACAAAGAAAAGCACTACGTTTAAGGAGTAGGGACGGGCTTCGGTGGGGGTGTCTCTTTGTTCTCATCCTCTTTTTCCTTATTCCAATTTTGCAATCCTTTCGGCAGAGACGTGTCCTCCTCAAATGAGCCGGTACCTTCAACAAATTCTTCATATGTAGACTTTTCTTTGAACGGTCGTGGACCCAATAGTTCGATCATATCATCACGACTTAAAACTTCGTTCTTTAATAAACGCTCAGCTACTCGCCGCACATCTTCCTTATGTGTTGTCAACAAATCCGTAGTGCGTTCGTGCGCTTTATGAATGAGAACACGCACTTCCTGATCAATCATTTGTGCAGTTTCTTCTGAGTACGGTTTAGTAAACATTGGATCTCCTTGTTGACCCGGATCGAAACTCACTTGACCTACTCTCTCGTTCATGCCGAAGCGTACAATTTGTGCATAAGCACTGTCTGTTATCTTCTTCAAATCATCTTGCGCGCCTGTAGTAATACGATTAAAGAATAACTCTTCTGCAACACGGCCACCCAGAGTCATGCACATTCGATCAAAAAGCTGCTCCTTTGATAACAAGTACTGATCCTTAGGCAGGTATTGTGCATAACCAAGACCTTTTCCACGAGGTATAATTGAAACTTTTAAAAGCGGGTCAGCGTATTCTAGAAACCAACCAGCAACCGCATGACCAGCTTCGTGATGCGCCACCGTTTTCTTCTCTTCCGGCGCCAATACATTAGTCTTTTTCTCCATTCCAGCTATCACGCGCTCAATGGCCTGCTCAAAATTTTTCAATACTATGGAATTAAGCGAGTCACGTGCGGCTATAAGTGCAGCTTCATTGCAAACGTTCGCAATGTCCGCACCGGTGAAGCCAGGTGTAAGCGCTGCCATTTTCCGGGAAAGATCTTGTTTATTCAAATCCGTCTTCAATGGACCCAAATGAACCTAAATGTGAAATTTAAATTTGTAAGTGACTGTAAAATAATTCTCTAAATTAATTTCAAATTAAATTATTCCATTTGCGATTGCGATTTTTAAATATTATGTACATCAAATTATTTAAACATATGTAAAAGTTCTAATAAATATTTGTATTTGCCAGTTTTCTAAAAAATGTATATATGTAATACCATGATAAAAATATTTAAAAAAAAAAATAATAACTATAAATACGTTTATCATGGATAATACTGTCTTAGATTAAATGAGTTAGACAACTAAGCAAATCTTTAGCGTGAGATGTATAAACTTTAGACATTTTTAGTTTATATTTAGAAATCTTTCTTACGTCGCATTAAAAGAGCGTGGATATTTCTATCCTATATTCTTACCTTAAAAATACTTGCTCGTCCTTTTATGTCAGGTGCTGGGACGAATATTTGTCTATCAAATCGGCCTGGGCGCATCAATGCCTTGTCTAATATATCTACACGGTTTGTTGCCGCTAATACAACAACGTTTGTAGTCGTGTTAAATCCATCCATTTCAACCAACAGCTGGTTTAATGTATTTTCTTGTTCCGAGTGCCCACCAAAGGACTTACCACCACGCTTTCGGCCGACAGCGTCAATTTCGTCGATGAATAGAATGCAGGGTGCATGCTTTCTGGCCATTGAAAACATATCGCGCACACGTGAAGGGCCTACGCCAACGAACATTTCTAGGAACTCAGAACCGGATACGCTAATAAACGGTACATTCGCTTCACCGGCTGTTGCCTTCGCCAACAACGTTTTACCAGTTCCAGGTGGACCAGTCAGCATAGCACCCTTTGGTATCTTGGCGCCAAGATCAATATATTGTTGGGGATTTTTTAAAAAGTTTACGAATTCCATAATTTCAATTTTGGCCTCCTCACAACCTGCAACATCCCTGCACATAATATAAAAAAAAATTCAATTAAAAATAATTGCTTAACTTTTGTTTACAGAGCTCA